GTTCTCACGAGTGTACTTTCTCTTCTCCCCTCCTTCAAAGGACTCACCTCGACGGGCCTTGGTGACATCCTCAACATTCATGTACTTCTGTGCCCTGAACAGCAGCTCGAGCATGTTGGAGGGTGGCTTCTTGAGGACCGAAAACATGAAACTAGAGGAGTGAAGAGTAGCGATAAAAGCGGTCGAACTACCTTATCATTTGGCTCCTCAATTTGGAGAACCTCCTCATTGAAATGGGCAAGGTAGTCTCTGAGACTTTCTTCCCTGTCGTACTTGATGGTAAGCAGGTGGGTCACTGGTTTTTAATGTCGATGTCCACCAATAAAATGGGAGACAAAAGACCTACTCAATTCTGTAAAAGAGCGGATGGAGGAGGGTCTGATCTTGGAGAACCACTAGCGGGCAGACCCCTTCAAGGTAGTTGGGAAGGCTCTACACATCATCTCCTCAGGCACGTTGTGGAGTTGCATGAGAGACTTCTATGTGTCAAGATGGTCAAGAGGGTCTTTGGTACTATCAAAAATCTCGATGATGGGCATTTTGAACTTCGAGAGTAAGGGATAATTGACGATATCAGTAACAAATGGTGTATCAATACGTCTTACTAGATAGTCCACGATTTTTGGGCGTCTGTGCCTTGATGGCGTTGAAGGCATCACCAAGTTAGTTTTGCACTTCTCTAATCTTCTCATCCCATTGGTTGGGGATATCCTTAATCAGGTGGCGGTACTGGCTTTCATGGTCTCCGTATTGACTTTCTCCATCTTCATTCTCCTGCATTGGTTCAAGAAGAAGGGGAACTCGTGAACTCCTTGTGTGCTAAGGGACTGCTGGGCGAGGGGTGCCCCTGGTGTGGTCCTGGAGTGTTCTGGTGAAGGGCCCATGGTAGGGGGCTGCCTGGCGTTCAGAAGGGATAAACTGTTGCTCCTCTCTCGTTGGAGGGAGTGGGACTCCTCCTACAGAATGAGGGGCGACACCCTCCTGGGCAAGCATCAGCTGGATGATCTGCTAGTTCTGTTTCACCAGTAGTTGCTTGGTTTGGAGGAGCTGTTGCCCGATAAAGGGGGTCATCGCAGCAGATGGTTTTGATGGTGTGAGGGGAGGAAGAACCTCCTCCTGGTGGGCCAGATTGTTGTCTCCTGGCTGTTTACTCATTGATCTGGTAGTGATTGCCATGAATTGGGAGAGTAGGAAAACTAGTCGTTCCCACAGACAGTGTCAAACTAATGATGCACAAATCAACTTTGCGCAAGATCAACAATCAAGAATGTATAAGGGCACAATTAATGAGTAATAACTGGGCAATCAATGGCAAAATAGTAAATAAGAGTCAACACAAAGATTAATAATAGTTCGGTTTGGATAACTTACTCTACTCTCGAAAATGGCAGCGGTAGCCGGAGATCTTTATTGATGAATAATGTAGCCGAAAAAGTGTACTCCTGGTGAATTACAATGTCATGGAAGAGAGGAACAATGTGTGTGTAGAGAGGTGTGTAGAGGTTTCAAGGTCATGTCAAGATGTCTCTCCTTATGGAGAGAACTTACATTATATAGGTTTAGTAAGACGGTGAGGCGGTGATGTGAGAGAGATGGCTTCTACCATTTTGGTAAGTACAATTAAAATAAGATTAGATCTCTGTGTGTATCCTGATATTCTCTCCCTTGTGTTCCTATTCAGTCAAAGGAGGATCCTGGGTTTAGAATTGAATTGGTGGATGCTGAACTTGAATTGGAGTGACAGAGTCAAGAGAGTGAAGGACTCCACGAGTTTGCGCAAGAGAGGGAGCAAAGGACAAAGGAGGGAAGGATCCCCTTGGGGTTGCCTCCCTTGGGCGGCGCCCCTTTGGGGTGTCCCCTTTAGACTCTTCCTTGACTTTNAGAGAGGGAGCAAAGGACAAAGGAGGGAAGGATCCCCTTGGGGTTGCCTCCCTTGGGCGGCGCCCCTTTGGGGTGTCCCCTTTAGACTCTTCCTTGACTTTGACTCCTCCTTAACTTGTTAACTTGGACTCCGAGGTGACATGAGCCTTTCTTGATTAATTGGGCATAACCCAATTAATTTTGAGTTCATCAACAACAACAATCAAAAAATAAGAGTGCATTGTTTATGCATTCTTATCATCTTCTCACCAACCATAATGTGAAGTCTCTTCTTCATAATTTGGTGAANAATAAGAGTGCATTGTTTATGCATTCTTATCATCTTCTCACCAACCATAATGTGAAGTCTCTTCTTCATAATTTGGTGAAGAAAATAATTAAAGTCCACGTGGTGTTATCTATTCAGAAAAAATTTCCCTTGAATGATATTCACATGAGCATTGATACATATCTTAGATAACAACAACAATCAAATAATAAGAGTGCATTGTTTATGCAGTCTTATCATCTTCTCACCAACCATTATGTGAAGTCTCTTCTTCATGATTACCGAGTAATCATACAACATCTTATCATTTGGTGAAGAAAATAATTAAAGCCCACGTGGTATTATCTATTCAGAAAAAATTCCTCTTGAATGATATTCGCACAAGCAATGATATATTTTAGATAACAACCCATCACCGATGTACGTGTGCTAGAGGATCATCCAAGATGCTCCCACTATATCAAGCATTTGTTGCGTAGCTCAAAAAAAGTAAATAAATTGAGGAATGGAAGCAAAATGATGATTACTTAAAGCATTAGGTACTTACGAAATTCGGTTCGTAGTATTTGGTGTTAAGAAAAGGAAAAAACAAATCAATAACAATCTACAAACAACGTATCATTGAACTGTTGGAAAAAACAAAAAGGCCTGAAGGAATGGAAAGGTGTAGGACCGGTGTGATTGCCGACTCTCTGCTGCTCCACATGTTTTAGAATTTGGAAAAACATGGTAGGTATAGTAAATATATCGGAGACAGAGCTGTGTTTGGAATTTGAAAAAACATGGTCTAGGTAGATATAGTAGAAATATTGAAAGATAGGTCTAGATAGTGATAGATAAATTTTATTAGTAGGTTAGATATAAAGATATTAATATAGCAGCTCAACCATCACATTTTTTTTCAAAATTAAAATAGACAATAATGATACGAAATTAGCAATTTTAATTGACTAGTTTTTTACATGAATTTTAAATACATGACTCAATGGCATGAATAATAAACGTGCACTGTTAATATTAAACACGAATAAAAATTTTTTGATACACGTCTATGTACTTTGTATGGTGTGAAAAAAATTCTAACATAGCAGGACTAGCATACTTGTGGGTCATCATCCAGTCATTTCACAAGAATATTTAAACAGGCCATTTTAGAGTTTTGTAATATTTGACAAGGATTTAGGCATCTATATAGTATATATATATATACTATTTATAAATTTCCGGTATCTACGAAAAATTTTGATTTCTTACCTTATTCCTAATTATTATAATAAAGTCAATTATATCCACCTCTATACTTTCATCTAATTTTTGTTTTTTACTGCTATTTGATTTTTAACTTATTCTAAACTCTTTTATAAGGAATTCTAGATTATTTTGAATTAATTTATTAGTAGTCCAATTAAATATAATTTTTTATATCTGTGTAAAGAAGTAAAGTCCTACATGTGTTATATTATTACACACACTATCAGATTGAATTTCATAGTCAAATGTATTTTATATAAATTTTTTGGTATACAATAATATAATAATATTATAAGTGATCCAATTAATGTATTTAACAAAATAAATATTAATAATTTTTTAATATAATTAAATGTGTAAATGCTTAAAAGGGCCAGAGAAATACTTAAATAAATGACATATTAGGCATTCAAAGACTTATAAAATAAATTAATAATTAAAACACGAATTAATTATTTAACACCTAATTTATTATGAGTAATGCTATTGTGACATAATTTGTTGACGTAATTCACTGTGATATTTGGATTGACTGTAGGCTCCATCAAACATTGGAACTTAGTGTTGATCTAATGATTTCTATGAAGCCACATCATTATGTCAGTAAATTAAGTCAGATTTTTAGGTTTAAATAACATTATTCATTTATTATTTAATTTAATTACACATAATTCATATTTTCTATAAAAATAATATTATTTTAATTTATTTATAAAAGGAGAGGTGGAATTTAGTGTCCACTCTTAAATTGTCCATAATATCCTTTTTTTGTCCTTTCAAAATAATTACTCATAACTCCATCATTAACTTCACTCAATCGTCTCCACTCATGAAAGATCAATTTTGTTCTTTAATTTTTTGTAAATAACTACTAAACTCTCTTTTTAACCTTATTTAAATGACTAATTTTTACTTCACACCAATAAACATACGTGCATGTCGTTTAGGAGGGTAAGCACAAACCCGATGAAAAAAACAAAAATAATGACCCTTAGTTTGTTCATGCAGAATCACAAGAAGCTCCATGGAACACAGCTTTCTTTTACACAACAGAGATGTTGTTACTCAACACAATACTGATGTCGTTTCTTTGTTCATGCAGAATCACGAGAAGTTGCATAGAACACAGTTTTATGTCAAAGATGGTGTTACTCAACACGATACCGATGTCGTTTTATTCTTTAAAACAAAGCTTTTTTATACCCAAAATGACATCATTTTGAGAACAATATTGATTGCTGTACATTAGAGGAGCCGGACCCAGTCCCATGTGAGGCTGAAAGAAAGCAAACAGAGATGCCCACAGCTTTTTCACATCATGACAAAAAATGAAGAGGAATTGACTGCATTTTGCTACCAAAAATGGTGACATGTACACATTTGTTCTCTTCGTAACTCCAAGTTTTGAGTCCCAGTAGTATTATAGCAACAATCAATCTGTCTTGTTTGCAATCACACCACAATCATTGAATTGACAGTAAATTCTAAACATTATTCATCGCACGTATGCTCTCAACTTTCCAAAATTTCTACCACGAAGTAATCAAGTTTATTCATTGTCGGTGTTTTTTGTGGTTAAAATTGTAAAAACATACATTCCATTAACGCCCGTTTGGTCAATAACAGTGCAATTACAAAAAGATGCTAGAGTGTCCACTGTAATTATGAGTATCAACAGGGAGTAAGATTCCTCAGTTTCAATAGAAGTTCATGAAATTTTCCTAATTAGAGAGGCAGGGAGAGTTCAACAAATAGATCAAAGCATCTCTAAAATGAATCTATCAATCAGAAAGTAAGAAGACAAACTACAAAATTAACAAGCAATGGCAGGGTTCTTAAAATTACTTAACCAGAAAACGAAATGAAAATACACATTATCCCTGAAGAAGTAAATGCTGCAATTAAAGGAAAACCAAATGGTGGCGGCGGCGGCGGCGTTAGCGCATGATAACACTCGACACGGCCAAAGCCTATTTCACACACACATTAAACCTTTATTATTCAATAACTGCGGCGTTGATGTTGGTCAATTAGGCATTGACCAACAACCCCTACTGCTATTCCTGTACAAATCTCACATCCCCTTGTGCTCTACCTTACTGATTCCTCAAGCTGAATATCACTGACTGCTACAGAAATCTAAAAATCCCATGAACTCGTGATTGTGTATCATCCGTATGCTTTTCTCAGTGCCAATGACCCCTGTGAGATAATGTCAATCATATATATCTTAGGCTCGGTAGAGATAATTATGCAAGCACCAGACAATATTATTTTTCAGCACTAAGGAATTTAGGACAAGTTTTTATTGGAATTACCCATTGTTAAAGCACTAGCAAAGATGACTGCAGAGAGGATGAACACGATGATTGAAGCTCTCTTTAGTATTGCAACAAGTTTTCTTATAAATAATTGTCCCCAAAAGCCAGCCAGAACAGACACTGCCATGAGGTATAAAGCTGCAAATAAATTTTAAATTTGTCAGAATTGTTGAAGAGATAACCTAGCAAAGACCCAATAGATCATAATGTATTGGTGACTTCTAGCTAGACAATTTCTGTTGAAAAAAATTAATCATTTTGCTATGAATGCCATTTACAATAAAATGAGAGAAAATCATGTAATAGGTAATATACCATATGGAATGGGGAACCTATGGAGGAGGTAGAACTCCACCACAGATAAGGATGATGAGAACATCATCACAAAAGTTGCTGTTGCGCTAGCTACCTGTGAAGGAAACATATGAGTTAGTCATTCTTGTAGTATTTGGACTTTTTGAGAAAATAACCAAAATTTTATTAGATTTTCTTACACTATCCCTTAATATTGAGTGAACATTAATGCAATAGACACTACGAGCTTTAACATTTTCAGATGTCAGAATGCATTAAAATGGGGATCAGATACTGGAGTACAATTTTTCATAATGGGGTATATTTTGTACTTTTGCAGCAACTAGTTCCCTTACTGATTGCCTATAAATTGTCAGCATGGTTGAGAGAAGAAAAAGGACATATAAAAAAACTACATATTTTCAACCATCGTTCTGACTGCAAAATTTTTGTTTGATCTGCGTTTGAGAGAGGGAAAGGTATAAAACATGGTTCTAATATGGTCCCTACATAGGGAAAACGAAATGGAAATGGCGTAAGTAGTATGCAACTTCTAATGCTAAATATTGTGGTTGTTGCAGAAAGTTGTCATTGTAATGAAAGTTCTGACATTCGAATTAAAGCAACATTTTGGAGGTAAAATAAACTTCATAGGTCATCAAATCAGTTTCAACTTTTAACATCTTCAAATTACGATAATCAGAAAATGCTGAGATAATGCACAGATTATGTTGAGCCACATTGCAATTCATTTCCAAGGCAAGTACTGTGGAATATTATGTGTATACCTGTGGAATGACACCAATTTCAAGGAGGAGAGGACCCAGAATAAATCCTCCACCAGAGCCTAGAAGGCCCCCAACAGTGCCTCCAAGAACCCCACACAAGGCACAGAATGCTAGAGAAGGGACAGTCCATTCAATTGCAGCCTCGCATATTAATTCAGTGTTCCCTGCTTTCCTCCTCTTCTTGCTTTCTTTGTACAGTTTTACACATTCATACCCAAACACTCCAATTGCTGCTGGAAACTGCAGGACAGAAGAAAAAATTGCTGAATTTGAAACATACAAACAAGAAGGACAAAAAACCTAGGATATTAGCTTCAGTAAACTTGCTCTCATACCTGTAATGAGTTGAGGATCCAATACCATGCACTACAAGCCACTACATTATTCTGAAAATCATTGAGATTACAAAAATTGCAAGTAAGGGACATGATAAAAATGCAGAGCGTAAAATATCCGCATGCTCATACACTTGCTCACAGACATACATCTAAAGAGGAAGATAGGCAGTGCACTTACCTTGAGAATTTGAAGAAGTAGAAAGGCGACCCAGACAACTAGTAACACCAGAAACCTCTTCCATCTTAAGTTCAACCCCAAAATTTGCTGGAAGATTTCAAAACAAATGGTTTAATAAAACTATATCAGAGAGAAAAAACACAAAAGTATAGCAGGGTTTGCTCACCAATTCTGTTTTCTCTTCTTTAGGAACTAATGGCTCATACTCTGTATCAATTAAAACTGAAAAAAAAAAAAACACAAACAAAAAGTGTATGCTAAGTCTGTATTAGAAACACTAAATGTTCTTCTTGAGAAAATTCACGAGCTTCTTGGTGACTCACGCTCGCCATGGGAATTAGCTAGAGTGTTTTGTTGCTCCACCATTGCTTTCTGCAAATTCCCGGAGGGAAAACCAAAAAAAAAAGGGTGATAAAATAACAGATAAAAACAATCGTGACTATAAATAGTAGAACCTTAATAGCTTTTCTTGTTTTTACTTCAAAATAAAATGCTACTAAATACACTGAAAACACATTCCATAATACACATCTAGTGTGGTATAAACTAGAACAACTCACTTTCAGGATTGTCTCTTCTTTCCACATTGCAATCCCCTTAAAGAAAGACCTTGATGACGTCCCTATTGACAATAATTAAAAGAAAGAATCAAAAAAAAAAAAAAACTGAGTTCTAAGTTCTAACGGTAATATGTCGCCTCAGTATTGTATACCCAAGAATAGAATGATTGTAAGGACAGTGATGAGCCAATAGGGGAAGACAACACTCAAAGCCACACCAATGGTGATGCCTAGCAAGAGCATGGGCTGGAACAAGAGGGCCAGGTCGTAGTCTAGGATAGGCACGTCTCTGCATGGATGGGGTACTCTTAAATTATACCAAACTGATGATGCTGATGCTCCCATTATCATACCTGCAAAACCATAAACCCAACATTCCCAATCTTAAATCAAAATTGCCCCAATTCACATATATGAATAAATGAAATAGGCATACCCTCTTACAGCCATTTCGTATGACTAAGATTAAGATTGTTTCTTTAATTCACATGCCTAACTACCCTCTTATTTAAAACCATACATGTAATCCCTTCAAGATTTCAGACGGGTGTGTAATTGTATATGTTCTTAAGAAATTTTTACCAATTTAAAATTTTACTTAACGTTCCGGCATAAGAGAGAAATAGACAAGATTATGTGAGGGAAAGGAAAAATATATGAGATGCATAAAAGTTATCAAATATTTTGCCAGTTATATTTAGTCCAAATTTCAAAGAGATTGAATACAGATTTACGAACTATACGAAGGTGAATTATTAAGGCCCAAGTACATAGAAGTTAATTTATAAATTATCTTTTATTTTCCTTTATAGAGTTTCATTTGTATGTTCTAAATTTTATATAAGACTACCTCTAACTCTGGAGAAATTTTAAGATACATACGAATATGTATATATGTCTACAGAGACAGAAAGAGTCCTTACACTTGGAAAGAGCAGCAGCAGACTTTGTATCAAACCCAACAATCAAAGTAAGCATTGGAACAAAAATGCCACCCCCACCAACTCCACCCACAGTTCCAAAAGCCGACCCCAAGAATCCTATTAGTGTGGCCAATACAATCCTCCAACTAAATTTCAATTCCTATATGACAAAAACAAAAAACCATTAAAAATACAACAAAAACATTTACAGTTATATACAACGTACGGCATACATATAAATATATATAGTTGTATATATCCACATATACATATAGGCAGAGAGAGAGAGAGAGATATACAGGCCAAACTTTTGATTCAGATCCATATGGTTGCTGCAATTGCAAAAGACCGGAGTTTGGCTGTGAAAGAAGAGATGGGTATGTGGTGCTATCATTTGGGTGGTTGTTGATGATTACTATAGACAGAACAGCCAAAGAGAAACCTGTTAACAGGTAGACCACCAACCCTTTCGTAGCCATGGCCAACTGCAACTTCTTCAGCGATGGCACTACCTCACTCCCTTCTCTTAGTTCTCTTTCTTTTTCGTTACTTTCTGCAACGAGTACAGACCATGAAAACAAACTAAGACAAACAGCGGGATAACTGCATACGGCGTTATATATAGGGACGGGGAGAGAGAGAGAGAGATTAGCTGTGGCTGCTGCGTTGACTGCACATGTCGAGGGCCAGAGAATGCTAGCGCATTTAGAAGTGTCACAAATTATAATGTATATATGCCAAAAACAAAACCAATGGCACACATGAGGTGTATTAGAGACAGACGTAGCATGATTAAAATGGCGAGAACAATTAAGGTTTTTATTTCTTATGTTTTTGGTAATATTAAGGTTTTTTTTATTGATATATAATTAATTAAATAGTGTGATGTCGATCTAATAGCAACACATAATTAATTAATTCAAATAAATACAGTCAAAATAATATTAAAATCACTTTAGAAACAACATTTTTTGGGCAAAATATCGTTCTTATCTATTAGTGTAGATTTTATTATTTTTTGATTAATTTTATAAAGAAAGTGTTAATACAAAGCAAGAGGCCAGGTTTTACCAGGATCAACAAGGTCGAATGAGAAATAACTCAATCTTCGATTTTGATGTGACACAATGCACTTTATGATTTGCGTGGCACTGAATAATTGCTTGGTTTTGGAAAATTTTAATGTACAATTTCGTGGTAAAGGCATACAAGGGTATCAGCCTCTCCAAATCCAAATCCAATTGGGTAATTACAATTTTGATATGGATTACGGTTGTGACAAAAAGGAAAATATATATTGTTTTTGAAAACTAATGATTTTGTTTTTTTGGAAAGAACATCAACTCCTCAACTCAGTGTTAATCCCTTTCCATAAATTCAATTTAGAAAATAATATAAATCCAACTAATACAAAATACAATCTATAAAACAGTAATACTGTATTGTCATTCACGTGGTGGCACCCACACAATTTACATAATAAAGTAGTTTACAATTTAAATTTCAAAAGATAAACAATATGACTTTTATTTTTCGCGGTTCAAATCGTTTTAAATTTTATTTTAAAGTTAATCAAACGACTAATATTAACACCCTAATTTAATAGAAAAAATAGGGGTTTAAGGGTGTATTTGGAGTAACTTTTTAAAAGTACTTATAAGAATTATTTCTCATAAGTACTTTAAAAAAAATAGTGTTTAAAACCACCCCACCACTCTCTCTATGACCACCACCACCACTGACATCACCGTCGCCATTGCCACCACTGTTGCCGCCACCATCATTGCCACCACGGTCATTGTCACCCACCACAACCATCATTGTCTCCTGCCACCACCACTGTTGTCCACTACCTCTCACCTCCACTACAACTGATACTTAAATTCATTTATCTCTCCTCTATGTTTGTGATTTGATTTTAGATATGCATACATATATGTTTATTGTTTATTATTTTTTATTACTTTGTGCCTTCAGGCACATGTAATAACTAGTCCTTTTATATATGACATTATTGGATGGTGATGTTATGTGTTTCTATAGACATTGATAGCACATTGAATATGCTTAAGGTTGAGTTCAGTATCTCAAGCCATGCTCTCGTAGGTCGGGAGCTCAGTTGTCCGAAGACCTTGACTCCAGATCTCAAGCTCTATACATTTGCCACTCATCCAAGCACAAGATTCTTAACCGCCCCAACACGCTTGTTGCATAATAAAAGCACTCGTTACGAGAAAGAGGTAAGAATCTCGCCATAGATCTGGCTAGACTCAGAAACAACTATAAATAAAAGACAAAGCCCTCGACAGAAAGGACAAGCAATCCTAGCTCACTCAAACATTCAGTGTAAAATCTCCTTTTTTATCAGTATATTCCCACGAGCAAGAGACTCCTTTGAGAGTGGATTAGGCGAACTCCCGAACTGGTGAACCACTATAAACCTACTGTGTGATAATCTCATCTCCTGTTCTAATTCTCAAAGAGTCTAGGAGCTCAGATTGAGTCATTTAGTGTCCATTGAATTTCTAATACTGCTTTGTCGTGCTGTGAGCATCATCAGACATATTATCATCATTATAAAGAACATTTATTCTTCTAACACATAAAGGATGTTATAATATTATTGAGAGAGTTGAAAAAAAGGCTAGACTAACCAAAGAATAGGATAAAAAATAGGAATTAAATAATATGACATTACCATAACGAAGAAAAGTGCTAGACTGACCAAATAATGTGACATTATCTTAATGACAAAATTTAAAATGTACAAAAAAAAAAAAAAAGAGACCAACAACACCATTATAGTAATACAACATTACTCAATCCCTGTTTTTAATCCTATTTGTTTAGTAAGTCTAACATTAGTCGCTATTATTTTCATAAAGAAGACTAATTAATCAGCACCATAAAATGTCTTTCCATTTTAGTTGAAAGAAATCCCCCGCAATATTCATCAAATCCGAATGCACATGGTAACAATGCCTTGTTTCTATATATATAGGATTCACTCAATTTTCCATAACTATTCACATTATTTTTTAGATCTTGTGCATGCTTCCATTTACAACCCATGACCAATTATGCCTAAATAATTCTTGGCATGTTCAAAAAAGATTCCTTGCCCAGCCACCATTCCCGTTTTTCTAATTCATTCATTATTTTGCTGTCAACATTTAAACTGACAAGTGGACCAGATAATTTTGATTCTATTTTGTTTCTTTTGAGAATTATATTTCAATTATTGAGTTAGGAATCAATGAAACAACTAACATAAATAGAAAGCAATCAAACTTCCACACCTTCGATGATCTGAGGTAAAGGTCTTGTAGTAGAAGCCTTCAAAGTGTGTCCAATCCACCATTAACAGTGTCGTGTACATCGTGCTATGCCTCTTACTCTGGGATCATATGTTTCAAACCCTATAAAAAAAGATCAAAATTACGGTAAAATAAGGACTTAGTTACAGCTCAATCGAAGAGATTACGACAAAATAAGATTGCTCCAGACAATTTAGATCAATCCCATTTTTTGAGTTTGAAACTTCTTCACATTGAATCTTAACTGGCTTTTGAGTCTGAAACTCAAATGACTTGTAACTAATCTTTATTTGGATCTAAATTTCGATACCAAATTCAACACAACAGACAAACTCAGATGCAATAGACTTACCTCTAGAAAAAAAAAAAAAGTTCCAGCAGAGGCTGTCCAAAAGTTATATTGGAAAACGTGAGATATACACTTCCAAATGGGCTACCCAGTGCGTAATGCAAGAGGAACTCAGTATTAAGATGTCTAGAGAGGGTTAAATGTACGTAATTTTATTTCTATAAACAAAGAGACTATATACACATCCAAATCGAAAACCAAAAAATCAATAGAGCATGCAACAATTTTACTAAAAAAGTGAAAGTACAAAAATAACAACACGCGCACGAAATTCTTGTCGTTACAAGCAATGGCGGATCCACATGAGAATTAAAGTGGCATGGGCCCACTTAATTTTTTTTTAAAATATTATTTATGTATATTTAAAATTATTATAAATATATTTAAATGTGTCCACTCTATTTTTTTTTTGTTCTATCAATTAGTATAGTCCTATAACTAAATAATTATGAACTTTTGGACATATTTTGAACATTTTATAGATACATCTAGATAAATTTTTGACATGTCCAACTCATTTCTAAAATTATAGATAGTATGAAAATTAAGTTAAATAACATAATGATTGATTAATAGTTAATAGCTTGGTTAATTATATAGAAAAAGATTATATCTTCAATGCAATTAGTCTCATTTATTGTGAAAAGTGATAATTAACCTCTTCTTTATTTTTTTGTTTGTATACACTATATTTATCAAAGTTTGATAATTTTTGTATTTTATGAATCTTTAATTATGAAATACAGTGTCATAAATTTAAATGCATTATTTTATTTTTATTGATTAGGAGAAAAAAATTAAATTTTTTGAATATAATGTCCACACGAAACAAAATTTCTAACTCCACCACCTATGAAACACGGATACTAATACGGGATACGGTACAATACGGTGATACAAAAAAGTCTAAAAAAATAGGATACTAGTATAGCAAAGATACGACTATAATTAAATATATTTAATATTTTTATTATTTTCAACCAACTTAATACTTATATGTTTGGTAGTTCCGTAACATATACTCCTTCCGTTCCTAAATACCTGTCGTTTAATGAAATCAAACCATAATTAATATTTTTTCTTCCAAATTTACCCTTAACTTTTCAATGCATTAGATTAGATGGAGACTAAGTGCCTCTCATATTCCTTTCCTTCCCAATACGTATTGAATAAGAGTATTTTAGTCTTCTGTAATTATTTTTTACTCATATTAGAGCTATTTAATAGCTTCCTTAATCCCTGTGCAAAAATCTTAAACGATAGATATTTAGGAACGGAGAGAGTAATAAAGAAAATTAATAATTCTTTTTAGTTTCAAGAAAATATATATCGTGTTGCTGTGGTATATTCACAAAGTGAAATGATTAATTGAAGGAATCAAAACTAATATTTACCTAGTATTTAGAAATAATTTTTGCTAAGATTACAATTTAATAACTTTATTTTTTACTCTTTTGAAATGTAATTGTAGATCATACTTAAAAAAACACTCATGTGCCTTTGAAGTAATATGAATTTTTTGTTAATATATTGTATGGTATGTGAATTCAAAACGAGATGTTAAAAGTTCAACTAAAAAATTATATATGTTGTTCGACTACAAAAATATCCGTGAAGTATCCTAATATTTAATTATTATAGAATACGTAAAAGGTATATCCGATACATATATTCGAGTATTCGACGAGTATCGTATCCGATATGACTTGCATAATTCTATCCCCATACAAAAAATTATGAGATTTAGAAAGAATTGGGCGTGTATAATTCTATCTTCTTCTACGTATCCGATAATAATTAAATATTAAGATACTTTACAGATACTTTTGTAGTCAAGTAACATATATAATTTTTTAGTTCAACTTTTAACATTTCTTTTCGAATTTACATACCATACAATACATTAACAAAAAACTCATATTACTTCAAAAACACATGAATGTTTTTTTAAATATTATCTACAATTACGTGTCAAAAGAGAATAAAATAAAGCTATTATATTATAATCTTAGCAAAAATTACTTCT